ATGGGGGGAGAGGTGCACCCCCAGATCTTCCCCTCAGAATAAAAATGTGTGCGCCAGGAGAAGGCAGCTCTCAGCTGAGCCCCTGCCCCTACCGCACCCCTTCTTGAGGACCCCTGCACTGCGCCCCAAGGCCCCTGGACGGAGATTCGGGCGCCGTCCCCGCGGTGCTATTGGGTGCCGGGCGCTTGGCTTCCGTTATTTTATGGAAATCTCACAACCTCCTTACGAGGTTGATATATCAGCCTCACTTTACAGACAAGGAAACGGAGACTTGGGAAGACCAAAAATATTGTCCCAAGTGCAGACAAATGGAACCCACATCCGTCTGCCCGAAGCCTTGACATTTTCACACGCACAGGCTGCGGGTGGGAAAACCTCTGAAAGCTCGGAAAGGCAGCTTCCGGGGCTGAGACAGGACGGCGCTGTGACGGGACCATTTGCAGCTCCCTACCCCTCTCCTGGGGATTTGGTTCCCTAATGTCTGCGTGCCTGGGGGACTCCTGGGAGCAGCTGCTCTCCCCAAACCAGGTCCAGGGAGGAGCTGGAAGGAAAGCAGAAGGCCGCAGAGTGGGTAGCTGGTTGTTCTTTCCCACAGAAACTCCTGGGAATCGCAGAGGCTCTCCCTGTGGGATTTGTGAAGGAGAGAGTGGCCGCACCCAGACTGGTGGAAGGAATGGGGAGGTGGAGGGGTAGAGGTAGGGGCGAGGGGACCAGATTTCAGAGCTATTTCTTTCCACCAACATTCCAGACTGGCCTCCAAGGCGTCTGTCCCAAGAAATTCCCCAGGGACAGCACTTGGGGACCCCGTTTAGACTCTCTAATCTCTGTCCTGGGCTAGTCCTTGCTGGTGCCCAATGACCTTGCCCTCTTGTAGTCCTCTCCTGTTGGATCCTACGGGAAACCCCAGCTCCCTGAGCGGTGGGAGTGTTGACAAGCCATAGATGCCACCTTTCTGCAGGCCCATGGCATCCCAGCAGTGGCAGTTGGGAGTGGAATTTGGGGATTTTGTCCCCATCTCCCTGGTAACCTGGAGCCTCAGCTAGCACAACAGCACTCACTCCTTAGTGTGAACTCCCAATTTGGGGGAAAGCACCTGGGCACTGGGGACAATTCAAAGCCAAGTGCAGCTGAGAGGGGGTGTTGTTAGGCAGCGCCCAGGGGTGGGGGAGGCCTCTAGTTTCTCCTTTGTGACCCTCCCAGCCTCCTTCTTAAGTATTTGCGGTAACGTTGAGGTTATCCCCAAAAATCAGCAGGCCTGGGCTTCAACCTTCATTTTTATCTCAAGGGGACCCCCACATTATCTCAAGAATAAGCAGGGGGATGGGGAGTGAGAGCTCTCACTTGGTTCAAGTATTCAGTGAGCCTTGGAAGGATGCTCCATTGTGCTCTAGCCCAATTCCCTCCCTTTACAGAGGAGCAAACTGAGACTGCAGAGAGAAGGGACCTGCCCAGATCTTCAAGTTGGTGGTAGGACTGGGGCTAGAACCTCCCCGGGCTCTGCCAATTACAGCCCTCGTCCTTACATGTCTTTTTCACACACTCACTGGTACTGCCTAGTATTATTACCAGATAGCTCCCTGGAAGTTTTGGCCCTCTGGTTATTTTATGGGCTTATTCAGACCTAAGGTAGAGAACTTTTTGGTAGAGAACTCCTTTAATAAATAAGAGTGGAATTGACATACATTGATTGGCATATTTCCCCGTCTATGAAATTCTATTTTTCTTCTGTGTGACTGAGTGGTCAGGTACTTGATTTTGAAATGTAAGGGTATTCAAACAATTCTTCATTCATTTGGGTCTCTCCTTTGCATAAGAGCACAGGCACCTTCCTAATGGGAGGTCATTAAGGACAAATTGCTTGTTACAACCTCCCCCCACCCCACTTGCCTTTCCAGAGGTGCCAAGAAGGAACCTTGCAAGTGGAAACCAAAAAGTGATTGCCACAGGAAACCCTGAGCACACCTCCCTTTGCTACCCCCGCTCCCATGTATCTATCTCATGAGGACAGTGTTGTAATTGTTCAGTAGCACAGCTGTCCTCCCCTCGTCCCCAATACGTACACTTTGAACTTGAGCATGGAGACTTAGTTTTCTTCACCCTTTATCCCTAGACCCCATCACAGTGTAAGAGGGAGCTCGATGATTTGTATTGAATGAATGAATGAATGAATTAATGAATGAATGAAATGATGATGATATCCACAGGGACTGTCTTAAACTGTGGCAGTTTCATACAGGAACAAGTAATGAAGAATGACATCTTGAAAGCAATCATTGCTTACAGACTTGTACATAAATGTATCAGGCAAAGGAGAATTAGTCATTCAAGGTAGGGTGTTTAATCCAGGACATATGGCAAGCTGCCAGTTTGATAATCTTAGTGAGTTAAGTGGGTGTGGGGGGACTGCTTTTTCCTTCAATCGCAGTTTCTTAACTTTGACACTGTAATCTTGGATCTTTTACCTGGGATTTCAGCATGTGGTGCCAGAAAGAGAGCGATGGCCTCCCTTGGCCTGGGTGGAATAATGGGGCGGGGATGATGAGTGGAGAGAGGACAGTTGGATGATTCTTTGTTGTGTGTCCTGTGCATTGCGTGATGCTCAGCTGCATCCTTGGCCGCTACCCCCTCGAAGCATTTCTCCAAGTTGTGACAACAGAAACGTCTTCAGACATTTCCAAAGCTCCTGGGAGACAGGGAAGGGCAAAATTGCCCCTGGCTGAGAACCATTGCCTTAAAGGCTGTCAGGTTTCAGGGGCGATGCATTGATAGGAATAATCATAGGTGTCACTTGCACGTTGGACTCCGGGCAGTGGGGTTGGTGACAGGGAATCTGAGTTGGAGGACGGAAGCAGGTACACCTACTGAACTCCATGTTGAAGCCACATAAAAAAGCTTCAGCGGGCCTTTTACTCCTTCCCTTCCCACTTTCCCCTCCTCTGTCTATCCTTCCCCAGTTGACAGCTCAGAAACATAAAAACTCCAAGTCTGGTTCTGGCATAGAAGCCTCCGGCGCATGGTGGTCCTGCCTCTTCCTGTGGTGCCTCTGGACTTGGAGGCGGACAGCTCTGTGGGGGTCTGTGAGCAGGGTTTTAGGAATCCTGTCCAGGCCACCTGAGGGCTGGCTATGGAGAACTCTCCAGAGGAGGGTACCTGGGGTTTTGTGTACCTGAAGAATCACTTTCTGAATTTCTGAGGAAGTATTGTAGCTTTCTGTTAAGATTTTTACTCTCCCTGAAATTACTGTGAATGATGATGCTGTAAAGGCTTCCCTTGTTGGGCACACTGGGTAGTCTGCTAAGTCCTCCCAGCTCTCCCTGATTTAATGCTCACTTCCAGCACTAGAACCCCCAGGCCAGCACAGCGAGGACACTGAAGCCATTTGCTCAGGTCGCCCCGCTGGACACAGTGAGAGGACTCACACTGTGTGCTGAACCAGTGCTGCGTCTGCTCCCCAGAGAGGCTGCTCTGCTCCCTGGTGCCCAAGGAGCTGTTGTACAGTTCTGTCCCCAGCCTCAAAATGACATTAAATTCAGTTTAATCTAATCTATAATAATAAAAGCATAATATGCTAATTAGACCGATTGTCCTTCCGGATGTCCTTCCGGACGACCTTCTGGATGAAGCCGGGGCTGTGAGGGAAGCCTGGGTCCCGGGTACATGCCTGTGGCTGGAGGGAAGCCTAGGTCCCGGGTGCCAGAAGGAAGCTGGTGCAGGCAGCTGGGGGAAGGAAGGCCTACTCTTGCATGAATTTTGTGCATTGGGCCTCTAGTTGCTTTATAAAACATAAAACAAATACTGAAACACACACATTTTATTGAGGGAGCCAGAGAAGAGCTTGGGGTCACCAAATCAACAAGCAGGAGGTATACTTCCTGGACTGTTTAGGGGAGTCCTCTTGGCTTTGGCATCACCTTTTGGGGGCTCCTTTCCCTTCTCCCTGTCCCCTTAGCCTCACCCCATCATTACCTCCCATGACGAGGGAGGGCACAGCCCTCTTCCTGGCACTCCTGTGGAAAGCCCAGATTTAACATTCAGGATTAGAGCCCATGACCAGATCTGCCTCCTCCAGTGACCCCTGACTTGGTCCCTGCTTACCTGCCCTGTGCAAGCTGGGGTTTCTCACCACTGACCTTCACTCAGGCTTTGGGACAGCCTGCAGCCCAAGGTAAAAGCCACAACACCCAGATCCTATCTACTTGCTTACTACAAACAGAGGACTGCTCAACCGTTGTGTAGACCTAAGAGAATGAGAGTGTCCTGGGCCCACCCAGCCTCACTGTTCTGTGGCTGACAGATTCCAAGGGGTAAATGGGGAAGGGACGCCCCTGGTTGATGGCCTTCTGCAATCAGCTCATGTGCTGCCAAGACTCCAAGTTTCCCACGTCTTCAGAATCCCCACATGTCCAGCGTCAGTTCCCTCACCCTGGCTCTCTGAGGTGGTGTCTATGTGCCTTCTCAAGTTCTTGACCTTATCACCTCCCCTTTCATTTTCCACACACAGGTTTGCCTCCCATTTCCCGAGAGTCTAGTAGACCAAGCATGTCCAACTCAAAGGCTAACATGGGCCAAATAAACAAGGTTTAAGTTTATGTGGGCCGCAAAAAAAATGAAAGCTTCAATTTTCATAGAAACGTAGGTTTATTTTGATAGGGACATGCTGAATACAAAGGGCTGAAATAAAAGAGCAATCGTTAACATAAAATAATAGAACATTTTAATAAAAATTAATATTTTTTCATGAACATAACTTACCAGACATTGAATAATTGCACAAATTAATAAGTGTAATGCAAATAAACCTATTTTTCTTGTTCTCCAAAAGTGAACTATTTCCTGTTGCACACACACAAC